CGGCTGGGCGAGTGGCTTGTAGACGCTGGAGGGCGTCTCTCTCGGACCTGACTGTCTGGTTGAGAGTCTGCGCCTGGCTCCAGCTCAGGCCGTGGCAGGCCCGGGGCCGGGGGGCGCTGGGCGCGAGGGCGAATCCTGCCAGGGAGCAGCAGCCACCCTCTGAGCAGGCCCAGCGGGTCCTCGCTTCCGGCACCTCTGTCACTTTGGGAGCCCGAATTCGCTAACTAACTAACTCACTAGCGAACTTACAGGTGGGGACGTCTCGCCTCTGCTGAGCTGGGCCCAGACCGCCCTGGAGTCACTGCCCCTCACCCTCCCCTCTAACTGGGCAGTGGGGACGGGCAGGGGGGAGTGGCTGAGCCAGTCGCTGCTGCTGGCTTGTGCCCCCCGTCCCCGCTTGCTATCGTGCCCGCAGAGCCAGACCTCTGCGGCAGTGAGAGCAGCCGATTTCTGGGCCCTGAGGGCAGGCCTAGGAGTCCCACACCAGTCCCCTGTTCTTCACCCCCACCCTGCAGCCTGTGGCTCCGGGGGCTGGAGGAAGGACATCGGGGGGACACCCCTCTCCCTGTGGTGGCTTGGGGGAGGGGCATCGGGGGGACACCCCTCTTCTCGTGGCGGGTTGTGGGTGCCTCTCTCGCAAATGGCCCAGGGAAACTTAGAAAGCCCGTTCCAGACTTCGCTCTGTGGAGTCCAGATTCCCCTGCCTCACTCAGGGACGGGTCCCACGAGGGGCAGTCCCGGGGCGGCAGGGGGGGCGGTGCCAGGGACGGGTCCCACGAGGGGTGCTCCCAGGACAACAGGGGTGGGGCAGTGCCAGGAACGGGTCCCATGAGGGGCAGTCCCGGGGTGGGGCGGTACGGTACGGGTGGGGGGGAAGGGGGGCAGTGCCAGGGATGGGTCCCACAAATGGGTCCCACAAGGGGTGCTCCCGGGGCGGCAGGGTGGGGGGCAGTGCCAGGGATGGTGTCCCACGAGGGGCACTCCCAGGGCAGTAGGGGTGGGGTGGTGCCAGAGACGGGTCCCATGAGGGGCAGTCCCAGGGCGGTACAGGCGGGGGTGCAGGGTGGGACGCTGCCAGGGACGGGTCCCACGAGGGGCAGTCCCGGGGCGGTAGGGGTGGGGGGCAGCGCCAGGCCAGGGCAGGATCTGAGGTTCTCAACTCCTCTCCCGCAGGGCATTCTCCTGAAGCGCAGCGGCAAGTCCCTCAACAAGGAGTGGAAGAAGAAGTATGTGACGCTGTGCGATAACGGAGTCCTCACCTACCACCCCAGCCTGCACGTGAGTGACCCCCAGGCAGGCCCTGCAGAGCTGTGGGGTGGCCGGGGGGAGGCACAGAGGTGGTCTCTGCTCTGCTGCTCCATGTCCTTCGGGGGGTGTCGTGACCCCCCCCTAAAGCACCAGGCTAGTGGGGGGGGGGCTCCGCATCCTGGGTAGCCCCAGGACTCCAGCACTCTGGTCCCCGCTGGCCAGGACAGCACCTCTCGCCCCTCTCCGGAGCTCGTCTGGCTGAGGGGAGAGGTCAGCAGGGACAAGCATGCTAAGTAACATGCCCCTTTCTTTTCCTGCTTCCCTAGCCAGTCCCCAGTTGGGCAGGGCCCCTGGCAGGAGGGAGAAGGTGAAAGCTCCTTGCGGCCAGGGCCGATGGCCCCGTCTGGGTGTGGAACGTGTTCCTGGCTGTTAGGTTTTGGGTAACAGAGAGGAGGTGCCGTGCAGAGCCTGCCGAGCTGAGCTGTCACTCGATGCATCTACAGTCTCTTCGCGGCTGGCTCACAGCTGCCTCTTCCATCCATCTCTGTCGCCTCCCTGCTGCGGGGCTAATGGCTTCTCTCCCGTTCCCTCTTGAGCACAGTTTGCTGCTAAGACAGTGAACCGTGGCCACAAACACACCTGTGGCCCTGCAGACCGCGGCACCCTCTGGACAGCAGGGATCACTTCAGGGGGGGCACAGGAGAGCCAGTGCGCAGTGGGCCCTGAGCTAGCCAAAGGGATGCCGTCGTGCCCCGGGGCTCGAGGGGTGAGCTGGGCTCCATGCTTAGAGCCCTGAATCCCTCGGACCCCAAGTGTTCTAATGCCCAGAGCTTCAGCCCTCTGCTCCTCAGCTCCTGGAACCCCGTGTGCCCCCATCCGGCTCTCTGTGCCCTCTCCTGCAGCAGCTCACCTCGGAGCACCACCTCTCATCCCATTGCCTTAAGCCATGGGACTGTAAAACCTGTTCTTCTCCTAGCTCTGCTGTGCCATCCGACTCCTCTTCCAACCCCCGGGTGCTCTGCCCCGGTCTCCACTCCTCCGACTCCCTCCTGCATTCTCTCTTCCATAGCCTTGGACCCTGGAGACTGCGGGGGAGCCGCCCTTGGCTAGAGAGAGGGTGTGCGTGCGTGTGCCCCGTGTGCCCCGTGTGTGTGCCCCGTGTGTGCGTGCGTGTGCACCACCTTTACACTAGGGTCAGAGCCGGCCCTTGTTCCCTCGGTCAGCTCCCACTGCTGAGGGTGGAGGAACTCCTTGGGATGTCCCTCGCCGTCATCGTGTGACATTACGGTACTGCCCAGCGCCGGCACCCTGGGCCCTTCGCCCAGTGCTGCTGGACACCCAGGGAAGTACATGCCGAAGGCATTGCCTCTACGTGCCTTTCCACCGACGCGCTGAGAAGGGAAGTAAAATGCGGAGTAATAAGGCCTGCCTGGCATGCACATGCTGGTAGCCCTCTCTGTCCCCCCCCCGTCCCCCCAACTAACTCCCTGCAGGGCAAAGGGCGTCTGTCTCCTCCCCCCCTGGACACCATCTTCCCCAGGGGCCAAGAGCCCCACTGGGCACCTCCACGTTGTGTTGCTGGCAGACTCAAGTGTTGGTGGCTGTGAGCAGGCCTGAATGGCCGAGTGCCCCTTGCGGCTGGCCTGACGCCTGCTCTGGAAACTCTGCTCCGGGGCCAGGGGCCTGCTGGAGCCCACGACACAGGGAGGGGAAGGGAGCCCTGCGTTGGGGTCACAGGCTGTCCTCACCACTTGTGCATTGCCCTCTGGAGCGCAGCACGAGCCACTGCCGTGCAGGGAGCACGTAGCCACTTCCGAGGAGAGCGCCAGCGGGCGTTCCCGTGGGTCCTCCAGGGGTGCCCTGCGGCGAGCATGTGACACTAGAACAGCCTGGCTGACTAGCAAGCGCCATAGTCCAAAGGAAGGATCATCCCAGCAGCAGCATGGGTCCAGCAGGCACACACAGAAAGGAGAGTAGCGAAATACAGACCCTGGACTTGAGAAAAGTGACTTTGATTCCCTCAGGGAACTGATGGGCAGGATCCCCTGGGAGGCTAATATGAGTGTGGAAGGAGTCCAGGAGAGCTGGCTGTATTTTAAAGAAACCTTATTGAGGGCACAGGAACAAACCATCCCGATGTGCAGAAAAAATAGCAAATATGGCAGGCGACCAGCTTGGCTTAACAGTGAAATCTTTGGTGAACTTAAACTCAGAAAGGAACCTTACAAGAAGTGGAAACTTGGTCAGATGACCAGGGAGGAGTATAAAAATATTGCTCGAGCATGCAGGGGTGTAATCAGGAAGGCCAAAACACAATTGGAGTTGCAGCTAGCAAGGGATGTTAAGAGTAACAAGAAGGGTTTCTGCAGGTGTTAGCAACAAGAAGAAAGTCAGGGAAAGTGTGGGCCCCTTACTGAATGAGGGAGGCAATCTAGTGACAGATGATGTGGAAAAACCTGAAGTACTCAATGCTTTTTTTTGCCTCGGTCTTCACAGACAAGGTCAGCTCCCAGACTGCTGCACTGGGCAGCACAGTATGGGGAGGAGGTGAGCAGCCCTCAGTGGTGAAAGAACAGGTTAAGGACTATTTAGAAAAGCAGGACATGCACAAGTCCATGGGTCCAGATCTAATGCATCCGAGGGTGCTGAGGGAATCGGCTGACGTGATTGCAGAGCCATTGGCCATTATCTTTGAAAACTCGTGGCAATCGGGGGAGGTCCTGGACGATTGGAAAAAGGCTAATGTAGTGCCCATCTTTAAAAAAGGGAAGAAGGAGAACCCAGGGAACTACAGACCGGTCAGCCTCACTTCAGTCCCTGGAAAAATCAGGGAGCAGGTCCTCAAGGAAACCATTTTGAAGCACTTGGAGGAAAGAAAGGTGATCAGGAACAGTCAACATGGATTCACCAAGGGCAAGTCATGCCTGACCAACCTGATTGCCTTCTATGATGAGATAACTGGCTCTGTGGATGTGGGGAAAGAGGTGGATGTGATATATCTTGACTTTAGCAAAGTTTTTGATACGGTCTCCTACAGTATTCTTGCTGGCAAGTTAAAGAAGTATGGGCTGGATGAATGGACTATAAGGGGGATAGAAAGCTGGCTAGATCGTTGGGCTCAACGAGAGTGCCCCAAGGGTCGGTCCTGGGGCCAGTTTTGTTCAACATCTTCATTAATGATCTGGATGATGGGATTAATTGCACCCTCAGCAAGTTTGCAGATGACACTAAGCTGGGGGGAGAGATAGATACACTGGAGGGTAGGGATAGGGTCCAGAGTGACCTAGTCAAATTGGAGGATTGGGCCAAAAGACATCTGATGAAGTTCAACAAGGACAAGTGCAGAGTCCTGCTCTTAGGACAGAAGAATCCCATGCACTGCTACAGGCTGGGGACTGACTGGCTAAGCGGCAGTTCTGCAGAAAAGGACCCGGGGATTACAGTGGATATAAGTGATATGAGATCCAGAAGCTGGATATGAGTCAGCAGTTGCCAAGAAGGCTAACGGCATATTGGGCTGTATTAGTAGGAGCACTGCCAGCAGATCGAGGGAAGTGATTATTCCCCTCTATCTGACACTGGTGAGGCCACATCTGGAGTATTGGTCCAGTTTTGGGCCCCCACTACAGAAAGGATGTGGACAAATTGGGGAGAGTCCATCAAAGGGCAACGAAAATGATTAGGGGGCTGGAGCACATGACTTATGAGGAGAGGCTGAGGGAACTGGGATTGTTTAGTCTCCAGAAGAGAAGAGTGAGGGGGGATTTGATAGCTGCTTTCAACTACCTGAAAGGGGGGTTCCAAAGAGGATGGAACTAGACTGTTCTCACTGGTGGCAGATGACAGAACAAGGAGTAATGGTCTCAAGTTGCAGTGGAGGAGGTCTAGGTTGGATATTAGGAAACACTTTTTCACTAGGAGGGTGGTGAAGCACTGGAATGGGTTCCCTAGGGAGGTGGTGGAATCTCCTTCCTTAGAGGTTTTTAAGGTCAGGCTTGACAAAGCCCTGGCTGGGATGATTTAGTTGGGGATTGGTCCTGCTTTGAGCAGGGGGTTGGACTAGATGACCTCCTGAGGTCCCTTCTGTGACGAACTGGGACTGTTCTTACTGTGGTCTGTGAATGCTGACAGGGGAGTGTGGCTAGGATAGTCTGCATTGGGGGATGGGAGACTGACCGACAGAGAATACCTAAGCATGTAACATGAGAACCCAGGAAGGGGTTAGAGGCCAGGTGACACCTTTGCCCGGGAAACTGAACAAAGGCTGTGGGAGGGGTCGCTGAAGGCAGAGTTTCAGGAGCTGGCTGGAGAGATGGCTGGGAGGCAGACAGGGCTCTGACCCCCCAATAGAGCTGTGGTGCCCCTGGGACCCCAAGATGGACCTAACCGAGGGGGGTCCTGTTATCTGTGCCTGCAAGACCTGTCTTGGACTGTGTTCCTGTCGTCTAAATAAACCTTCTGCTTTACTGGCTGGCTGAGAGTCATGGTGAATTGCAGGAAGCTGGGGGTGCAGGGCTTTGTGTCCCCCCCACACTCCGAGACACCTTCCAACCCTGAGATTCTCTGATTCTCTGAAAGGTCAGGGCATGACCCTCCTCTCCCTTCGCTTCATCGGGAAATGCACTGTACCCGCCCGCATCCCCTCCAGCTTGGCTGGAGTGAGGCTCAGCTGCAGAATCCAGGTGTGCAGGGGAGGCAGCTGAGAACTATCATCGTTCTCCAGGTGGGGTCTTCCTACAGCGCAGAGGCCTCTGTGCGCGGCCCCCGTCATCCCAGGGACTTTTTCCTGCCATGTCCCACTGCTGCCCCCCCGTCTCCCACCCCACTCTGGCCCCAGCTCCCCTGCGGTCAGGGCAGCTGCCCCAATGTATTAGCTGCACTGCCCCAGTTGAGTTGCATTTGTGTTTCCTTCAGGGCTTCCTCTCTCTGGACTCCCCTGAGTTATTTAGTTGTGTTGATTTAGTTGGGAATTGGTCCTGCTTTGAGCAGGGGGTTGGACTAGATACCTCCTGTGGTCCCTTCCAACCCTGATATTCTGTGATTTGGTTTCATTGGCATTCTTTGGTCAGCAAGTTCAGCTGTTGGCACCTCCAGCCCCAGCAATGGGAAAAGCCCCCCTCCCTCCCCTTTCCCTAGACTCCTCACTGTCTCCAGGAATTAGACTTGTAGTTCTTGCAGTGACGCCCCCATAAGACCTTGTTCAACACTGGAGTTAAGTGTCCTTTACCCCCTTGGTTGTACTGGTCAGGTAACCCTTGGTAGCCTGCACCTGCTGCTATCTCCTGGAGCTCAAGCAGAGCCTTGTCTTGCAGCCCACGGCTGGTGTCTCCTCTGTTGCTTTCCCTGGAATCTGTGTTCATTGACTCTGAGTTTTCAACAGCTTTGGGCATTGTGCAGATGGGGTGTCCTGAGCTGGAGCGGAGAGCAGCCGCAGATGCTGCAGACAAGAGGGCTCTGCAGGCCGGGTCCCAGGGCTGCAGGTCTCCACATTCCCTTGGCCTCTTTTCCCTTCTTTGGTGTCTGAGTTTGTTCCATGCGAGGAAAAGAGCAAATTTCATGGGAAGGCCAAGGCAGTTTCAAGTCACTTTCCCAAAGCCTTGGAGAGCAAGTGTCTCTGCTCCTGGGGAAAGCACACGGCTCGGCCCGGCCAGGCTGCGCGAAGCAGCGCCAGAGAGAAAGCATCTCCCATTTTGCAGCCAGTGGAGCCATTCACACAATCACCTTCTGTTAATTCTATCTGCAACATCAATTAAATTGTTTGTAGAAACTAATTGAATGTGGCTTAATCACACATCTTAATAGCTTTCCACGCTTTGAACTCGTTGTTAATTCCAGTAATAAAATGAAATGAGAGAACTGGCTGGGTAATTAGTGAGGAGGCTTGGGGAAGAAATTGCTCTTTTATAGCATGTAATAAAAGCAGCGTGCTGGTGACCGCTCTCTCCGGCAGGCAGCCGGCTAGCACAGCGTTTGTGCTGAGCTAGGGAAAATCCTTCAGCCCCTCTGAGATTCCCTGCCCAGGGGCTTCTCCTGTCTCCCACTCAGCCCCGGCGCTGCTTGGAGGAGCTGGTAATGAGGCTGTACAGCTGGGGAATGCTTGGGACACCCAAGGGTGTCTGTTGGCTTGGGCGCTCTGCTCGGGTCGAGTCAAGGCCCCCTAGGAGTCCAGTGCCTGGGAAGGGTGTGCGGTGGGAAGTGCTGTGGCGTTCTCTGCTGGGCTGGGAGCTAGGCCCCTGGATGAGGCACTGTCAGAGCGAGGGAGGTCAGTGCAGGCTGGCTGAGCCAACCCAGCAGCGGTAGTCCTTGCACGTCATGACCTGCAGGCTATGGAAGTGTGACCCATCTCCACCCGCCGCTTTAAGCCAGGGGGCAGTCAGAGGAGCCGTGGCTCCTAGGTTGGGCCTGTTCGTTGCTCTACCTTCCTGAGTTTAGAAGCAGAGGATTTACACAGGGACCAACTCTGACTTAATCTTTCTGGTGACCTCCTTGTGAACTGGAGCAAACCCAGGCTTTCCTGCAGAACAGACAACTGCAGCTGCAGCTTCGTCCTGGCCAGCTGCTGTCCCTCATCTGCCACGTACAGAGCAAGCCCCCAGGGAGGGGATGCTGTGCAGAGCTGCCTTGGGTCCCAGAGCAGGGAGGGGACAGCCCCCTCTGTAGCCTTCTCCCCCCTCCCCCCCACGCTCCTGGGACCTTGCTCTCAGCCCGAGGGACGGCCCCTTTCTGTGAGGGGATCACATGTGGACTTGTGCACGTATTTCTGGGTACATCAGTCCCAGATTGGAGGGACTTGCTTGGGGGACAGAGTTATGGGGAGAGGCTGAAAGAGCGAAGTGTGTCTCTCAGGGTGGCTCGTACTTGCAGTCTGTGGGTGAGATGTGCCAGTTGCTGTCATGGTTTCCCAAGAGAAGAGGTGGAAGCCCAGAAAGTCGTGCTGGCGAATGTACCACAGGGAACTCCCTGTGTTTGGATCCCAGGAGCTGGGATCTGGGAGAGATTTTCCGGCTCTGTGTTCCACAGGCTACAGAAGGAAGGAATGGGACTGCCCGTGTTCCCGCAGCGCAGCATTGCTACCTGTGCTCTGACGAAGGGGCCTGGGCTGTGGGCACTGAGTTCTAATCCGGCCCCAGGTTGGGAGGGGGCTGGCTGGCTCAGGGATGGCATTATTCATGTCAGGCAATGGCTGGCCCTGGGAACGGGACAGGAGCCTCTCACCTCGAGGCCAGCTGCACTGGTAGTGCAGGGAAGCACAAGAGGAGCCTGGGGGTGTTTGAGCTGTAATGGGGAAGTGAATCCGGAGCTCTGAAACACCTCCATGTCGCTTGCTGGCCGCCTTGCGGCTGTCTGGGGCAATGGCCGCCTGGCAGAGTGGAGGGAGGTAGAGAGGCTTGCACTGAGCCTGAACCTGCTCTCTCTCTGCTGTAGGATTACATGCAGAACGTCCATGGCAAGGAAATAGATCTGCTGAGAACAACAGTGAAGGTGCCGGGCAAGCGGCTCCCCAGGGCGACGACGGCGACAGCCCCCAGCGCCAGTCCCAAAACCAACGGGCTTGCCAAGGAGCGGAGCAGCATGCAGTTCCCAGGAGGCCCAGGTAAGGAGAGGAGGAGGGTCTCGCCCAGGCTGAGCGGCTACAGGGCTCTTAGCTAAGTCACAAGTAGACAATGCACGAGTGGTTCTGGTGTCTCCTGCTCCTCCCACTCTTTTCACCAGTGTCTTTTACACAGCGACCCTGTGTCTGCACGGGGCCGAGATGAGCGCCCTGTTTGGGCAGGGCCATCTGGCTTCCCTCCTGGAGATGGGACGGGGCTGAAACACTTGCCTCTCAGGCCCCTGACATTTGTGTGGCTTTACAGTTACATTTTCCTGTTTTAGAAAACGTTTCCCCTCTGTTGCCATGAGAGCCCCGGTGACTGACTGATCTGCCAGGCAGACAGGGAACTATCCGGCTGCACAAAGTGCTGGCAGATGCATAAAGGAAAGAGTCTGTAAAGCGTGTGAAAGCTTTTCCATAGTCTGTCTCAGTGGCCGTGATTGGAGAGTTACGGGGCAAGAGCAAGTCCCAGATTTTCAGACAAGTGGATTTTCATTGATTGGTGTCCCTTTAAGAGACGTTCGGGGTGGGCGGAATGAGAAGTTTCCTAGGGTCTAGCTCAGGGGTTCCCAAACTGGGGGTCAGGACCCCTCAGGGGGTCGCAAGGTTATTCCATGGGGGTCACGAGCTGTCAATCTCCTCTCCAAATCCCGCTTTGCCTCCAGCATTTATAACAGGTTAAATATATACACAAGTGTGTTTAATTTATAAGGGGGGGTCGCACTCAGAGGCTTGCTGTGTGAAAGGGGTCACCAGTAAAAAAAATTGAGAGCCACTGGTGTTGCTGAACTTCATGACTCCAGCAGGTACTCTCAATCAGAACTGGAGGGAAGTTCTCAAACAGATTAAGGCTGATTGACTCCGACATGCTGAACCCGCTGTCCAGACTTGCCAGGAGCCTGGGAGACGGAGCCACGAGAACTTGGGTGTCGCTGAGAGGAGATTCTGACCTAGGGCTTTGCTGGGGCCTGATGGGCTGAGCACTGCCCATGTGCCATTCACATTAACAGGAGACACAGTCCCTGACCAAGAGCTAAGAAGAGAAGCAGAAAATCTCCCTCCCACTCTACATTGGGGTACTCGGGTGCTCTGGGGACGGCCCCAGGCAAAATCCCCAAGGGACAATAGGGACAGCTTTTATATCCAGCAATACCCCCCGTGGCTCCTGCACCCAGCCAGCTTCACAGGCTGGTTTCTCGGGGATGTTATGACAGGGGAAGGAGGACATGGTGGTGGTCTTGCCCATCAGGCCGGGGGTGGGGGAGCCTGGGCGCTTGGGGCAGAGTGGCAGGAAGTGGTTGTGGGAGAAACCATTGGGAAGGGCTAAGGGTAACGGAGAAATGTCAGACACGTCTGCTCCAGGCCACCTCCACTCCTCAGATGGAAGGGGGAGAGAACAATAAATCCTTCGAAACTGCAGGACACTGACTCATGGGTGATTTTACCTCAGTATCTTTTGGGGGGGAAAACCTGAACATACACCGTCAAAAAGGTTACAAAGAGGACAATTTATAGTCAGAACTGGTAGAGATGCCTCTAGTTAAGGTGGAATAACATTTTCCATTTTAAGCCCCTATTTTCAGCTGCATATAACACTGCCAAACTTTAACCCTTTGGGCTGAAATATTCCATGTTGGGCTTCTGCCTGAGGCTGAATTTTTAAACATTTAAGCAAAAATGATTCACCATTAGCTTTGCCAAGGCTGAAGAATTTTTTCCAGCTGAAGAGCTTCAGCACCTTGAGGGCGTAGAACAAGAACTTGAAATTTAGCCAGGGAATAGTCCTGGGGTTAGAGAGGTGTCTTTTGTAATCCCCATGAGAATGTGTTCAGATTTGGCAGCATAAACCCCTGCAAACTGCTTTTGCACCTGCTCAGTAGAGCTTGTTAGACGCTTGCTGATAAAATCTCTTGAACATTCCTTCCGCACTGAGCATGCTCGTTGGCCCCCAGTGCTGGAGCTTGACAGGACAGCCTGTGCATTCCTCTCCTCTGGGTGCTCGACTTTGCAACCCTAATGTTCTTTTGAGATCATTTTGTTTGGGGGGGGGGGTTGTATGAAATGATACAGAGAGCAGAGAATCCAACCAAGGACAAGCCCATTGATGAGGCCAAGGGTAAGGTCTATTAACAGTTTTTAGTATCTAATTAAATGCAGATAACCAGTGTTAATGAAGCATTAAGGGGGAGCAATCGAGTCAGGAATTTCCCAAAGTGAGGGTTGCTGTCCCATGTTAACTCGCCCAGTTTGCATTTCCAATCTGTGCATTCATCACAGACAGTGATACTTTACAGGGCAAACTGGCCTAGCAAGCCAATCCCTACCCCTGGGATTGGAGCGGGTTAGAAAAGGGGGTTCTTTTTTTTTTCACTTTTGGTTTGAAACTGAAAACTAGCTGACCTGTTTTGCTCAGACATACCCCAGACCATGCCCTCTAGGGGAGCCTGGGAGCCGTCAGACCACAGGGAATTTGAGAAAGTTCTGAGCTCTCCACCGTCCACAGCTACCTCTCAAAACTGCTCCAGGTGTGTCCTTGTCGCCTCGTTCCCCCTTCACTGCCAGCCAAGGGAGCCTTCAATCATCTCAGTCTCCGACATGACAGTGCCATGAGCAGCCGCCCAGCCAGCCTGGCGGTGCTGCTCAGCGCTGGGGCTGGGCTCTGCAGGGGCTCCCACTGCCCGTGCGACTCCAGAGAGGGAGTCCACTGCCCTGCAGAGCTCAGCTCGCGGAACTGTCGGGCCACAGGTGAGGGGAGTTGAGGCCCCCCCCTTCATGTCTGGTAACACGACCGCTTTAAAGGCGCCTGCCTGCAGGTGGAGGAAGGAAGGGGGTGGGGAGGCAGCCCTGCTCTGAGGATGGGCAGAGCCGCACCCTGGGAGGAGGGTCAGCTGCCTGGCCGGAAGGGGGCGTAATGGCGGGTGAGTAGGACTGGCTGGAAACAAGAATTCTGTGTTGCAAAAAAACTGTGAGGTTTTGAAAGTCCTGGTGATTCTGCATCGGAATGAACCAGAGACCTTTCAAAAACGGGGAGGGGGATAGAGATGCACCTCAGACTGCCCAGCAGCGAGGTCACTCACCAGGAATGTGGGAGACAAGTCCTGGCTTTGGAACATTTCCCGTCTCTGAATCAGGACGATTTGGGCTGTGAACCTGGGTCTCCCATCTCCCAGGTGAGTGCCAGGCCTCCGGGTGAGGAATTAGCTCATTCTGGGGCTCGTCAGCATTTAGCAATCCCTGACAATGAGCACAGGGCTGTAGAGTCAGTGTCTGTCTCTCCCTCTCAAAGCCTCCTGCTGGAGCTCTTCCATTTTGTATAAGTAATTACATATTAATTGGGCCAGAGAGAGAGAACAATTCTCAATCCTACTGGCTAGTCTGGGGTCTCTCTCTCTTTCTCGTTTCAATCACAAAGTCCATCCTGGACCAAACAACTTTCCTGACAAAGGTTTCTTTGGAACCAATACATTTCCAGAAAAACTTTTGGTTTTCATAAATTGTTACTTTTCAATGAAAAACCATTTTGTCCAAAAATGCCCAATCGGCTCGAGCTGCCGGCGGTCCCAGGATGTGCAGCCTCTGGTCGCTCGTCACATTCTTTAATGTCAAGTTCGCTGGGGAAAGGCATTATTAGTTCAGTGCTGACAAGATCCAGAATGAGCCAGTTCCTCACACAGAGACCTGGCACTGCCAGCTGGAGCCCAGGAAGACAGGATAGTGCATGCAGGGGTGCCCGGGGGGAGGAGGGGAGGAACTCGAGTTTAACCAGCTTTGACTACAACAAGCAAAACAATACAAGTGTTTAGGGTGGACTCCGATGGGGTGGGGCCTGGTGAGCTGGGCATGGGAGGAGGCTCAGGGCTAGGTGGCAGGGAAGCTACTGAAGCAGGGGAGGGCTTTTCAGCACGATAGCTAGCACCCAGTCGCTGTCTACATGAGGACTAAGGAGAGTGCAGGTCCATTAACTAAAGATGTGAAGCCAGTGTGCATAAGTTAGTGTGTTAACCCTGTATGGATGGTCAGTGGGGTTCAGACCTTTAGATCCACGACACAGTCCTCTGCTGCTCCAGCTAACAGAGTAACTGATAAGAGTAGAAGACTCACACTTGGCCCGTGGCTTCTATTTACCAGACCCCAAACGAAAGCTGAGAGACAGAAAAAATAGGTGGAATGCCAGGTTCGTAGGGCAGAGAACTGTAGTGTTTATAAACAGTTAATTCTCTGTCCCCTTCTGCTCCTACACCCCTGGTCCCACACAGCTTCACTTGTCCCGCACCCTGCTCCTCTCCTGCCCCGTCCCCTGCTCCTGCCTACGTCCGCCCTTCTCTGCTTCCGTGGCTCCTTCTTGCTCCTACTCCCTTCCCAGCCCACCTCTGCTCCTAGCCTCCTGCATCTCCATCAGCTCGTCTCTGCACGCCCTGAGCTGCTGGCTCAGTGGGGACATTGAGTGCCCAGGGGACAGGCTCCCTGTTCTGCTCCTGGGCCCTGCACCACAGTGGCTTTGTGCAGCTTGGAGGAGCAGTTGCAGGAGAAGTGCTACTCAGCCACGGCTCAGTCTCTCTGGGGGACGGCGCATGCACAGGCCGGTCACATGTTGGCGCTGTCGGGGGCTGGAGCGCACTGCGATCAGATGGAATAGTCAGAGACTTTAGCTGCCAAACTTCCAAGTCTCTACTGAGCATGTGCAAACTGAGATTTTTTTCAGTGATAAGTTGCTCAAATTTGGGCAAATTTTCACAGATGCATCTGAAGGCATCTCCCTGAGACCTGGGCGACTGTCTCACCTCCTCGTCACATTTCAAGTCACTGCTCCAAACGGCTCAGCCATTTCCTACAAGATTTTGGGAAAATAGATTGTGTTCTCGGAAATGGCTGGTCCATTAGATTTAACATCACAGTAAAATTTAACCTGAAGCAATCCTCTGGCATGGAAAATTTCAGCCCAAACCATAGAAGCCTGGCAAGGTTATAAACAACCAACAACACACTCTTGTAACGGAAGG